GACTTGAAGTATGCTGACAATATTGCCCTCATATGTGACAGCTCAACAAACGTACCAAACGGTACTGGACCGGTTAGCGTTGGCTGTCAATCGTTTCGGGGTATGCTTTACACCATCAAAGTGCGAAGGTTTCCTCCAACATTGGTAGGATCCTACCCCTGCTCTGACCCTTGGTGATGATCAGCTAGAAGTCGTTATAAAGTTCAACTACCTAGGTAGTTGTATCAGCGCCATTGGAATTGAAGACGAGGTCACAAACCGCATAGCAAAAAGTTGAGACGCATTTGTCAACCTTCCCCACTTATGGCGCCGGCGCGACATCACTCTCGCCCTAAGGGTAGAGTGTACAATGCGGCGGTACGTTCCACCCTGCTGTGCGGTTGTGAAACCTGGCCCCTTAGATCAGCGGACATAAAGTGGCTAGTTACGTTCGACCACCGGTGCGTTCGCAGTTTGCCTCATATCTAGTGGGTGATCGTGTTCGATGCCTTGTTTATGTCACAGGAAGAAGAAGCGAACCGCTCAGCACCGTTATTTCACGCACCAAACTCCGATAGCTAGACCACGTGTTGCGCATGCCATCCCACCGGCTCCAGCGATGTGCCTTGTTTGCGCGCAACGGATGCGAATGGAAGAAGAGGAAGCCAAGCGACGACTTGCTCAGGAGGAATGAAGGGCCTTAGTTCAAAGTTGGCGTCGGTTGGAGCCTCTCGGCTCCCTGGTTGGGGATCGAGAGATGATGAACACGTTTGGCTGGATACACTTATTGACGTGGCTGGGAGCCGACGTCAATGGGGTTTGTGTTGTGAGTTTCTTCGTCCCTCCCCTTCCCGCTGTGCCTCCCCTTCCAACCACCGTCTCAATTCATATGCATAGTATATTCTTTTTTCAGCACAGTAGCCTACTGTTAGCTCTCCGGAACGATGTCCATCTGTTACTGGTGACTCAGTTGGCGTGCCCTTGTTGCATATTTTCTTTGCTAATGTATTGCAGCACAATAGTTTAGGTATTTTCCACCTCTAACTAACGTGTGTAATGAAAAAGTGAATAATGCCGTTTGCTATATCGCCTGAGCCGAAGTGGGAATTAGATTTCACACCCACTTTTTTAAGAAATTCGACATGAGCTTTCCATGTTGAAATGAAACAAGTCTCCTGGACCCGACCACCTTCCTCCATCTTTACCGAAATACGGTGGTGACCCTGTGTTGATTGGACTCGCTTCTGTAGTTAACACAATTTGGAACACTGAAGAGGTGTCTTCAGACTGGCGACTGCCAACTGTCGTGCTCATCTTCAAGAAGAGTCAGCGTACCTTGTGCGAAAATCATCGAGGCATTAGCCTTGTTTCCGTTACCTCCAAACTTCTCACGGTATCATTCTCCGACGACTTACTGGTTCCCGTGAGAACCGAATCACGGGAAATCAGACTGGCTTCCGCCCTGGTCCTGGTTGCATTGACCACATATTTACTCTTCGCCAAGTTTTAAAGCGGAGACACATATACAGAGGACTTGACTATGGTGGTTTTTCTTAACTTGTACGCCGCGTTTGACTCTGTTGACCGCTCCAAGTTGTGGCAATGCCGGCTGAATTGCTTTCCATTGCGCAGTCTCTACCATGACTCCCGAGGCCGTGTCAGGGTCTACGTGAAACTGTTTTCTTAGTTCCCCAAGACAAGTAAGGTTCGCCAGAGTTGTCCTATATTTCCTTTTCAATTTCGTAACGCAAATGCTCGGAAATGACTTAGTTCTCTCAGACTTCCGGAGTGGGACTTTTGCTCGGTGACCGACTGACAAAGGTTGTATGCGACGACGAAGCTCTTCTTGGGTCTGACGCAGCGGATGTGCAAACACTACTGGATAGACTAACATGTTGCGCTGCACGCTTCGGCATGTGCTTTGCACCTTCAAAGTGCAAAGTACTGCTGCAGGACTGGACCGACACACCTCCGGTTCTAGCTATCACCGAACAGCCACTGGAAGTGGTGGATCGGTTCACTTACCTTGGTAGCTGTGTCACCTCTGGTGGTCACATCACTGAGGAAGTTACTTCGCGTATCAGCAAGGCCCGTGTGGCTTTCCAGAGGCTCAACCATCTATGGAGACGGCGGGATATCAGCCTGTCAGTGAAAGGTAGGTAGGATATACAACGCTGCGGTAAGGCCGGTCTTACTGTATGGATCAGAGACCTGGCCAGTTCGCAGTGAAGACATTAAACGCTTGGCCGTGTTTGACCACCGGTGCTTGCGGAGTATTGCTCACGTCTGGTGGGAACACCGAGTGAGCAATGCTGAGGTCCGCCAGTTGGTTTTTGGCAAGAAGCCTTCTGGTGCCTCACTCGAGTGTTTGCTGAATCTTAATCGGTTACGTTGGCTAGGCCATGTCCTCTATATCCCTAGTAACCGGCTTTCTCGGCGTGAATTATACGCCGTGGCTGCACAAAGTTAGGTGAAACCGCGAGGTGGCCAGTCCATCGCGTGGCATAGAGGCATGTAGAGTAGAATTGAGAGACTTGCTCAGGCTGGTGCGTGCCGTTTTCGTGGCTGGAGCCTCGGGAAGGTAAGCACCAATGGTGGGGGACCGTATTAGACATGGCGTAGTCACTATGTCAGTGACGTTCCTGCATTCTGTTTCTTTTATCTGGTCGTTAATTTTCGTTCTGATTAGTCTAACGCACCTCTCCCTTGCTTCCACTTTCTCTGCATTCTATTTGCCTTTAACCCCATTATCTTGCCGGTGTTATTTACTATTGTTCTTGCGATGTGAGTCTCGGTAACTGGATCCACCGCACCACGGTGCTCTGATCATAGCTGTTCTGTGGAACTGAACTATTTGGTTTTGTGCGAATGATGACGCCAGTCGAGTCAAAGTAAGTCAATATAAGCTTTATCTAGGCGTATGGGTGCATTAACAGCATTTTATTACTAACACTACAGAATATAGTGCAACAAAGCATCAATGAGAACTAACAGTCTACCGCAATAAACGAACAATTGCATCTTGAATCAAGCATACAGTCAAGAAAGTGGTGTTCCATTTCCGATGGTTTGCTTAGTAAGCATTGAGCTATCATACGACTAAATACACGAATATAAAACTTTAACTTTTGGCCGTGTGAAAAAGTAGTTCTACCGCTGGCTAGGATTGCATGTAAAGGGTGAGAGGAGTCAATTGAAATCTAGGATGAAAGGTTGGTGCATGATGCATCGAAATGCATGTTAACAACGAAATCAATGAGAGGTTCTTTCCTCAGTCCAGGGCAGTGAAACATAGCTTTTAGCGAACAGACGAGAAGGACATGATCTTTTTTGTAGGTTTCCGTTGAACATGACATGGGAGCAGTATAACCAGTGAGGGAGGATACATACACTTACAACCCTTAGAATTAAAGCACGGAGAACAGAAAGCATTTTGAGCTTAAGATGGTAAGAAGAGAGCCTTCTAACTATTTTAACTGTTTTAGGAATATGAGTATACCAAGATAACTTGTGAGACAGGAATCCTCCGACCTTTTTTCCAGAATATGTGCAAGGTATGTTTTGCTCATCCACAATCATAGTAGGAAGCATATGTACACAGGACTGGTTTGTTGGGATGTAGAAAACAGCATGTTATATCACTGCACTTTGAACGCTCGAGAGAGAGGAATCAGGAGCTCGACTAAGTCACTAGTTCGTCTAACCCTCCTTGATGTTTCAGAGAGTCCTCAGTGATTGTGGTTAGGTAGCCAGAACAACGTCAACAGCACGTTTACAGTCCATGAAGTTTGGTGGAATAAGGTGACGTAGGCAGGGAGAAGAGCAAAGGGGGATAGGATGGCTCTCTACAAAACATCGCAACTGCCTAGTAGTACAGCAGATTTTCTGCCGCATAGCTACGTGGAGTGGATGTCAGTTACTAGGATGGCTCGGTGGTTATACATAGCTCCCAACCAATTGTTCCATCATTCTGTTTTACCATGGGCAGTTATCCTATACATTGTCAGCTCCTTTATGGTCTCCAGATTCACAGACATCTTTTGCTGGGAACATGACTTACCGGTGACATCTGCCGATCGGAACTAATTATATGCAAAGAAACTTAGAACTATTGGTTGCAACCAAAACGACTTCCATCCAGCTATTTACGTGGACAAAGGCGTGCCCCGCCAGGATGAACGCTTTAGTTTACATAGATTGCGATCGCCTGCATCCGTACGCATTTCGAACGGAGATTATTCCTCACTCACACTTGTTTTCCATTTATTGTCAGGCACGCTCCTTCGTATAATAATAAACTGTTTTGCTGTCCTTGGTGCGCAGGTAGTCGCTATCTTCTGTGTTTGTCAATTTAACTATACCTGCGGTTGTATGTTCTCTGGATGGAATGAGACAAGGCTATCAACCGGGATTATGCAACACCTTGTCTGAGGCTAGCGATGAATGGCCCTAAGGTGCCCATAATTCGATTGCTCGGCATTTGCTCGCTTGTATAATGGGCCAATCATTCAGGGTCATCAACAAACAAGTGCTCGGATCCTGCTCTGGTTTGCCGAGGCTTCCATCATCCTATGATTGATGCCAGACCTTTGCAAACAACTTGATCTCGTGGTCAGCCTATCCTTACACTAGTAAGGCATAGGCTCAGTCAGTGGAAAATACGACTCCGATCGTCACAGGTTCCAATTGGTTGTTCTTACCGATCTCCTGTCAGTGAAATTCCTCTGCCGAATGGCAGTTTTGGCCCTCTTGTTCCAATTGCTTATCCCCTGAATTGAAAATAAAGGTTGAAACGTTGCCGACATGTCGCTAAATCGTCTTCAGAAGTTCTCAAGAAGTCTGTTCTCCTCTGTAGTAACGTCCATCTAATTGTTTTAGTAGACGCCCTCGCGGTTGTCTAAATAAGGTCCCTGTACTAGAATATGGGACCATACCATTTTCGCATCTTATCCACTACTCCATGTAAACACTAACACGGACATGTTCCATTAGGTTTTCACGCTTTAGTTTTTTTCTTTCAGACTTGGACACTGCAAACGCGAATTGAATGAGTGTGAGTTCATGGACTCGCAACTATGCCGCCATCTCCACTGTTTCGACAAGTCCAACCCCTGGAATCCTTCAACCAGTGTGCTTCCACGTCATTGTCTCTACTTTAAACTTTAACCACTGCCCAAACGTGCTCATCCTATTTCGGTACAAGTGCCGATCAGATACACTTTTACTTTCTTCTCTGTGTTAGGCTTACTTGTTTTTAGCCCCATACTGGCTGTGCTCACATTTTCTACACAAAATCGATGCCACTCGATATCTGCTTCCATTGCCAAATATGGTGCCACGCTTACGTGTGCATCTATTTCATTTCGTTTCCTCGTCCCTCTAACCTGGCCAGTCTGTGCAAAGCCTGCTATTTGTCATACGACTTTCCTATTTTGGGATATTCTTGTTTCTTCCTAGGCTGTACATTGGCGTTTTCTTTCTGAGTTTAAATGATGTGTTATCACCTGCGTTTTCTGTCCATTTTGTGCATATTTAGTTTGCTGTCGGAGTATCATGTTAGAATTTTCACTAGTCTACTCCGTTTCACTTTATGTTGCGCAGGGGTTCCACGTCCCCTCAAGTGATGGGGCCGATGGTTCACTTGTACGTGCGGTTACACCGCCGCCAGCCACACTCATGTGCGTCATCCGTGATGTTATGGTAGTTGTATTCCGGAGCTTCCATGCTCCAGTTTGCTGTTTACTCAGTTTCCACTGTACGCCGTTAAGATCACACCGTAGAGGATGGGAAATTGACAAACGGTACGCCGTATCGAAGCCCCACTGCCACGTGACCATCAACAGTCATTTACTGGCTGCCTGCGGATACTGCCTGGCCATCTGCACCTGCTCAGCCTCGACCTGTTGACCTGCGGATTACGGGCCGAACCATTGAAGTACTCGGTCATCTGTTACTACGCCGTACTGTACTTTTCGGGATCATCAACGACATTGTACGTCAGTTGGCTATCTTTTTGACGCTCTGTCTTAACCGAAACTTAGCGGGTAGGGTTTTAGTATTGTTTTGGTCTTTCTTCCTTCGCCACTATCGCGATGAAGTATACACGACTCCACTAGTTCTTGTTAATGTTTAGCTACCTCACTGAATGTGAAGCGAGTCTGACATAACATAGGCTAGGCATAAGTTGTCTCTGTACACATCACCGGCCAGCTGGACTCGTTGTTGCCGCATGTAATCGTAGCTTAAATAAGCGGACACTTGAAGACACCAAACCGTGGTCATTTTGCGGGCCCTTGGCTTGTATGTTGCTCTCGTGGAACAGCTCCAGTGTCCTCTTTTCGTATCGAGTGGGCGCAGCAACGATAAGAAACCCAGACTATTCGCGTCATACGAGAGGTAAACGGGGACTACACTAGTATACCTAGACCTTGCGCACGGTCTAGGCATAAATAATACGCAAATTCCTGTAGCCGTGGTTCTAGACTGCAATTTAAGGACAGTAGATAGGTTGGGAATCCTAATGAAGTGGAACAGACCCAGGAAGGTTTGCGGCAACATGTAAAAACGTTATAGCATACCAGTCCGCCTATCGGCAGTCTGTCCAAGATAGAAGGTTTCGATCTTGAGGCCTCAAGCACATGCCAAGGGTTCAAACCATACAGCTTTACATGTCTAAAAATGCAGATGCTTGTAGCGCATCAGCATGAAATTCTTTATGGGAATGATGGAAGCGTTTGTGCGTAAGACTACCATGTCCTCAGATAGACAATCCAGTTTGACAAAGAAATCAAAGTTCAATTTGGACTTCACAGTACGGGTGGGCAATTTAGCACCTTACCTACTCAGACCTTCCACCAGTCAGAATTGTATGGCCCTGTCTGTTCGGCTCCACTTCCGCTGGGGTGTTTGCATGCGCTTTTTGAATGATATTTATCAACATGATTTTCACTAGTGTCTACGGTCTTGCACGACGTCTCCCAGTATTAACTTTACCTGTCATAGCCACCACTTTACCTACAATTTATACACTAATATTCCTTCATTTTTGTGGTTTCGCGCATCCACATTTTGGTCATACTTCGAGTTGCGCCGTTCCGGAATGATGCTTTCCGCAGTTTATTGCTTGTTCGCAACACTAGTTGACTCTCCATCCATCTTACACGTGCCCTAAGTGCGAACATATACTGTTTCCACAATCGTGTTGTGCATGTGCGTTGTCAACATGAATGCATCAACCAGCTCATTCTGGTCTCTGGTAAGCATACACTCCCCGGAGTCCATGTAACTTCGGATTGATCTGTTCAGAATGACTTGCCATTCAAAGTAAAAAATATTGGATTGTCTGAGTACGCCACAAGGCTTTGGGCGAACAGATTACAGACCAGTCCACAAGAACGCGTTCTTTGTGTCCTCATACAGAATGGCCTCAACTGTTGGAAAAGTCCGACGCAGTTGCCAAAAGAGGAAACCGGCACATCAGCATGCTGCGGAGAATATTCGGGACTTTGATCCACCACTTTTCCCCGTGATTCGCACCTTTTACGCGCGCCCTCAAGTCGGACATGCTGTCCGAACTCGAAAACCTTGGTTGAAGCGCGACCTCGAAACACCAAAACGCAAGGCAAAAATGAATGACAAGAGTCTACGCAATTATTCTCACCAGCAAAGGCTTAAGTTATTTAGAGTTTTCAGCGAACGCTACCGACGGTTACGCGGGAATTTCGTATTGGGATACGAAATCTTGAATAATCCCAGTTACATATGCCGCCACTTGCTGTAACCCAGGTACAACATCGACCCCAGAAGTAGCTGCGTGAAGCAGAATGAGCGATGCAGCCATTCAAAGTCCCGACGGAATTAATTCTCTCCTCAGGTCTACCAACCCTGAAACTCTTTCTCAAAACTCATTTGTCTCCCCAAATTTGAATCTTTCCAAAAAACAATTGGTTATTGCCCTCATCTACTAGCACTTCGTTGCATAAAGTGGGATATTGTGGAATATCTCTATGCTGTACTGTTGCTGGGTTTATGTATCACATGGGTACTAGGAAACGGTACTTGAGGGCGCGTTTTTGTCTTCCTTTTCTCAGAGGAAACGTTAAGTATCGATGTCCCCAACATTGAATTACCATTTCACACTATCACATACAGCAGTTTATTTAAAGCGGTAAACGCTTAAACCGATGACATATATCGCTTGATCTTGTAGCTCTCACCTCAACCATCCTATGGGTCTGATTTAGCGCCCGTGTTTTTTTCGTAATCAATCACTGTTGATTATGCATCACTCTTCCAAAATTGCTCGATTGTCCGGGTGTGGAAGACAAGCGTTCACTGTAAAGTCCAACCTCCTTAATGTATGAGCAAACGACAATGTTGCTTGCTCGGCGATCGGTTTGTTTATTTTGTTGGTTGACACTCGCAATCCTCAACATAAGCGACCCTATTATCGTCGCACGCGTTAGACCCTTGTCACCACCTCGTCGCGGTGTGTTGATGTGAAAGCGAATGCTCATTGTTTTACGCATAGTAGCACGAATTGTCTCAATAGATCTAATGGAGTTAGCATAGCGGAATACTCCTAATTGGCCTCCTTCCGAATCAAGTGACTTTCCGTATAAGAATGAATTTGTTGACCACAGCTCTAATTCAATCGAATAAGAATTCGTCCAACCATCAGTCTTGTCATTAGGCTAGTTTAGACAGCCGAAACTATACGCCCCAAACGGCTAGCTAAAACGATGACTCAATGGCCAACTCTAAGCTGTTGCTCAGTAGTGGTGAGAGCTAGCGATGCGCTAGCCCCGTTCTGCGTTACTGCTTGCACTTTTAAGAAACGACTTCCATACCTCTTTGGATGAACTTACACGAACACCTAGTTCGACTCTACGTGAGTCATGGTATTCATGTACTCTACGATTTTCAACTGGCCATTTACTTACTTGTGCACTTCGGCAGTGGCAGGTAGGTAGATGTGGCAGGAGGTAGAGTATTCTATGATGTTTTTGATCCGAAAACTGGATAAGGAAGATAAGATGAGGCAACTTCATCGCGCTCTATTTATGGTGAAGTCGATTTACATGCATTTAAAATAGTACGTATCCGATACACCGTTCGGCCTGTGGCATAAAAATCACAAGCATGCCTTGTGTTCCTGAGGCCGCGGGTTCGAGCCTGCGTAGAGGACCGGGCGACGCTCGCAGTATCCTTAGCCCACGCGCGACTGGTGGTGCTTGCGCGACAGTGGAGCGTCGGTACGGCGTACTGCTAATACCTTTGCCCGCTACAGCGTTTGTAACGGACAAATCAGTCTGTTGGATTACACTAAAGCACGCTACAAGTCCCTACCTATTCCCTTGTTCTTAGCTGTCCCTGACTCTTATCAGCTGACATTTTTACGGTTTGATTGCTTGGACTATCGATCGTTTTGCTTTAAATCGGATCTGACTGAACTGCTTATTCGGCTTAGCAACCAGCTGGACTTCGGTTAACTTTTGCCGGCATTTGGTCTTGTTTGCACGTCCGGTTTTAATTTGAGAACAGAACTATTGTACATTTGTGGTGGACAGTGTCAAGCTCAGTATACAATTTGTTGCCGTAACCCTCTGTAAAAATAGCACCGTAGCGGATTTCTTGGCTTTGACTTTTGAATTGACCCGGGAGTCTTACATCTTGCTTGAATCCACCGCCGATTTGACGGTAGCACCGTTGAGGGATAACACCGATCAACCAATCTATGGACGGACGTAGTTTACGTCTAGAAAGGCAACTGTGGCAGGTCATTCGTATAGGTAACGCGGTTTCAGAAGCTATAAAATGTACCTGCACTGTCATCACACTCTTTGTCGAGAGAGAAGCTGACCCGACTCATTAATTTCAGCTTCCAAATAGCCGGTGGATCGCTTGCTGTATCTCGCATGTGTTAAGTTTTCCGCTAAGTACGGTGGAAAATTACTCGTCCTTGATCAAGCGCTGGGGCAGCCGGCAGTCTGATGTCTCTTCTTCGATGCCTCATATGGTATCGAGTGGGGCGTCCAGCAGCCACCGAATCGCTACCATCTCCCATCGGCGGCGATCATCTCATCCAAGCACCTCGTCTCACTTCAAAAGTGCTGGTTTATGTCGAATTTCTTTTAACACCATAGGTTGGTGATGACCATTTCGTCTCGGTTCAAATGATTCAACAGAACGACTAAGATATGGTTGAACCGCGCTTTAAGGCATTCAAGTTTACGAGTCTGGAATGGACTATACGTTCACTTCTTATTGATTATCTAACTGTACCTTGGATACGCTGGTAACGGAAAGCACAGAAAGTGGCGAAGGTGTACTTTATGTTCCCCGGTTTGGCACCTTGCACCACAGTGTATTTTATCTGGACCACGACTACTGCCATCGTCCGCGACGCCTCTTCTCATAGTCTCGGATGCAAGTCGATCTCATGTTGACCTACCGTATTTTACATCTCGGTGGCTTCTCGTACTGAAGCCGCTGCTCCAAGTACGAACATTATTTTGCACCACACCAAACATGACTAAGCTTGTTTTACAGAATCTGTAACGAGTTCCCCACTCCCTGTATTTCGCACGGAGTGGTCAAGGTTTGGAACAGTCTTCTGGTATTGGTGTAAAACGCTGCTGCGGTTCAAAACATTGCCGGATTTGCATTTCTCCACTATGAGGTTGAGAGAACGATCACCCACTGACAAAAAATCTCACATTCTCTTCGCATGTTTCTGCGTGTGTAACATTTTTACGACATCACTTGGTAATTTGAAGAACGATTCGAATATTGGCGAATTTCGGATAGTTTTTTAACGTTTCTGATCACATTTCAATAGAGTTGTAGATTTAAATTTCTGTTTTGTCCCACACTCCAGTATTCACCATACTTGTAGGGCACCTTTTTACATTTTGCCACAAGCTTTGCTAGGACATTACCCTTAGTCAGCTGACATTTTCACCAGGTGCATCGACCATCTTTCAAAAGTCCAGGCAATACACAATCGATACCCTCTTTGAATAACTGACAACTAAGGTGCACCATCAACAGCGTACGTTCCCAGGCTTTCCTCTGTTCTTCTGTGCGTAGTATGTGGGAGCATTGAAATACTACAATGCGCATACATGCTTTTACTTCATTTTGGCATCCGCGAACGACGGGGCATTAATTCCGAAATTCGGACCTGAGAAGTGCTCCTATAACTGTACTCTTATCAACTGATCTGGTTTGACTTCCCTCTCTCACATCCCGGGCCAATGTCGATTTCCCATGGTGTACTTCATTAATGGGAACCTCAAGTTCACCAGTTACTAAGACTCCATTGTCGCGTGTCCATTCAGTGTCGATTGCGACCACTTACATTAGTTTGATGCGACGCAGGTAAAATCTTCGGGGCCCTTAGACAATGTTCGCAGCTACTTCAAAATGCGGTTACTCTTCCCTGACACGTTCCACACCATGTGACCCCAACTCTGCGACGATGCATGGCTCCATGTTTCCTGCTGCCGTTGTGAACCATCTAAGATGTCAGCTGTCAGTACAGTTGCTTGTGACGAACACATTCCGCTCTATGCCAAACAGCTCCACACTAGACCCATTACATGAGATGCAGTTTCTGCTTTTCCTCCTTATCTCTAAGTGAGTTTGTATGGCTCAAATAAGCATTGAGTAACATGCGAACATTATGTGCCAGAGTCAACGAAGTACTTGTTCTCACTATTCTGATTGGCCGCCTCTGCTCCACTGGTCCAATTCGACCTGTCGTAAGTTTTCTACGCCTTACGCGGATTACAAATTATATTGGTTGATTGAAAAAGGTTATTCTCGACAATCCAGCGGGCTACGTTGGTCCCATTGTGAACCGTGTTGCAGTCGTGGTGTAAACCTCAGTTTATCTGCTTCCGTTTCTATTCACTTTACAGCTGTGGTTAGGCGCCACCGCAATTTTTTGGACTGAGTTACCACTTCACCCTGTATAGCCGTGTGTGTCCACTACCTGATATAGTTCATGTTCACCGACACAACGTAAACAGACGATGCGCTTACCGCATTTCCCCATAAGATCTAGGTACATGCATTTATCTTGCTACGCAATGTGAGCGCATCAGTGATGGTTTTATTCTGTTGATGCGTTTATGGTTGGTTTTGTAACTCACCGTAATTCCATCCTACTGTACTGACTAAGCATCTACTTTTTGATCCACCATAAACAACAGTGTTATTCGCAGGCCTTATTGTATATTCGAAAGAAACAAATGCATTTGAAAATTTCTACCGAAATTTAACTGAAACGAGCACATAATGGTATATCGGCTGCGGCGCAGGACAGCGGATGCTGGGAGAAACTGGTTTGCAAATTATAGGAAGGGTAAGCCGCGCCTATTCGCACATTTAAAGTTTGACGAATATCAGCCTCAGAACTGGCTTCACGGTATTGTTAAGGGGTTATCACGGACGCGATTGGTGAGGGAGGACCACCCATGCAGTTCCTCGGTTTTGGTCTTCGAGTGTGTTGTGGAAGGATGCGGGGGCATGTACAAGGTTAAATACGTTTGAATATGTTCGTTCCCCTATCACATAAAGCACGGGAACCAATGCTGCCATGTATGCGATAATCTCCCGTTCACACGGGGTGTTTCTCCAGTTGTCTCTAAGTCGCCGATCGATTTGTTGTCCTGAGTGAACAGATTTGTGAAACGGTTTTCACTGCCGGCTCCCTCGTGCCTGTTCAAATGCAACCGGGTGGAGTAGAGAACTTTAGGATTATGGCATTGTGACTGATAAATCTTGTTTTTCGAATTTAATTGGCTATATACCTAAGCCTGTAACGATAGTGAATAGTTTAGCGGGGAGTGGTAACGAGACTTCAATGGTTCAAATGATTATCGAGACTAAGATAAAGCAGAAGCCACCAGACCTCCGGACAAATACCGATTGGTCGTTTGACTTTACTACTGCGGTATGGATCACCCATCTGAAGGAGCATTCGAAACACGGTGAGATTATCGAATCGGGTGCCATTATCACAAGTCATTGGCGTTTTCATGGGGGCGGACCTCTCTTTTGGAGCCAGCCCTATCTTTGGCACATTAATAATGTGCGAATCCGTACAAAATAAAGTCCAGCACACAAGCTTAAATTACTTGGGCATACTGATTTTCTGCATCCGCCGTGGTTAAGACGGTTCAACTTCTACGCATAGTAGCCAAGTCTTGGTTTGGAGCGCCCATCTGACACCACCTCGCTAATTCTTGGCTTTCCGGCCAGATCCACTTCTGCTGGACTTTAATTGGAAACTTCGAAGGCAACCTCAGACACTTCAGGTAATCTGTTTCACACTTAATCGGGAGTTTGGTTTGCACTTGATATAAATACGTATGATATAAGCCACCGTTGCACGGTCAATTTGTTGAACTGTTAGTCTTATTCAGTTCGAGCCATGTAGTTCTTCTGGTTAACAATCAGATTGATACGCCATTCATCCAGTAATGTCGGATCGCTATAGGACAGACAACTGTGTCTTCAAGTGGGATGAGGTGAGCTTAGTATCCGCGTCCACGGAGAAACAGTAAGCGGAGTTCTCTGCCATGTCTCTTTCGCGTGTGCGGGGCTACGTGGAATACAAAGTCTCTGTCCCTTACTCGTCATTCTGTGGAATCAGTGAATACCAGGAGAGATAATGGCAACATCTACCTCTATCCCTCAAAACCGGCATCAGATCATCTACCAATATCCAGGGTTATGATGATGTCGATAACATTGGCTCCACCTACAGACAACTGTTAGGCACTGCGCATTTTCTGTGACACTGACAATGCAAGGAAATCTTTAATCATTCCAATAACGTGGGTCATTACAACTGCAGCCGACAAAGACCTACTCCTGAAAATATGCAGTCCAAGTCTTCCAGCAAGCTTTACTTTCTGAGTGATCTGTTGGATGCAACGGGTTGAGTCAACCTCGTGTACTGTGGGCATCGTACGTAACTGGCTTGCATTAAACTCGCCGCCTAGACATTAGGGACATTACTCATCCCCCTGAATTCCCCTATTTTTAGGATTGTAAGTGTGGCAAACGTTCTAACATGGTAGTATGTGGCAACCCGCAGTTTTGCATTGAGTTAACTTTTGGGCACATGTGTAGGACTTCGTGAAATGGTGATAAGAGCACACTTGGTTTGTTGATTTACTTCATACGTGAAAATCCATCGGTTAAACCCCATGACTCTCTGTGCAATCTGTGGTTGCAAAATTGCCAAAGAAAAATTTTATATCCTCTATGAAGTAACTTCTAACAACCTTAAGATATGTTGGCACATCACTCACGTGAAGCGTACAATCGGATTCCGGAGACCCGGAAGCGGTGACACTGTACTTGGCCGTCGTGCTCAGCGATGTGCGTCCCGCGTTTGTGTAGGGCACCATGACGCACAACGCTTGTTGCGGGGAATTTACTTTGGCCGGTGGACTGAGATTATCCCCGCTGTTCGTGGACTCCTCGGAAAACTTGGACGCTTCCTCGTCATGCACAATACTCGAGTAGGCATAGCAATTTCCGGCGTGACCGCCTGGTGTGATGGAGCCTGGTGCAGTGGACAAAGAACTTCCATGTCTTCCGTGTTTTGGACACACCTCAGAACCGGGGCCCATGTTCTCATGCTTGTTACGGTATTGCGCCCAACAATATGTGGAATCGGTGGTGGCCATCGGTATACTTCCCGTCCCGCTTGGACCATGATGTCGTTTGTGAAATGGTTGAAGCGAAAATCTGGATAGTATTGACAAAAAATCAGTGTCCTTTAGCTATTTGTCCCTTTGTGACTTTAGTGTTTATCAAATAAGCACCATCACTCCTATGATTGTCTCACTGGATCACGCATTTTATAGTCTATCGCCCAAATGCTCCCGTGTTTATTCCGAGCCGAAGTTGTTGTGTGAGCCTATCATTCTGCGTGAATTTGAATCGTGACTTCTACTTTCTACAATCTTTACCCTACTCACAAATATCCAAACTTAGACTATTGTTTAGGGACAGTAGAGACACTACTACTCCACTGAAGTACTAATCGGTAACCCTCTAGAGATAGTGCTAACCTGAAAGCAACGACTTACCACGATCCATGGGATTGAACTAGTGTGCGTGAAACATTTACACGGTGAACTCCTAGCTCAACGGTACATACTAGCAACTAGGATACCTATTTCGGTGATGGGTCCTGCAATACATCGTTTGAGCATCACTTGCAGTGTGCTGTTAAATTGCTGTTTACCTTTCACATTAGACGGGGAGTGATCATAGCGCTCGGAAGTAGGGTTGCTCATCATCGTTGACGGATGACATGATTACTGCTTTTGTCGGGAATAGCCGAGTGCTGTACGAACGTATCCTAAACACAAGCCCATAAAGGGTCTCAATTAGAGGCGAAAATACTCGATAAATGTTGGCTCATGGCATATTCGCTTACCTGTCGGCTTGAAAATTTGGTGGAATGGTTTGATTATTTCAGCAAACTTAGTGTACCTCTATCATTTCTGACATCGCTTATGTCTCATTTCGCCTACCTTAGTAGAAATCCCATATGAACGATCAATGAAAATGGTTTGGGGCATGAAGAATTTGATGGCAACGATTCGTCTGGCTGGTGGGCACCGTATCCTAGATGGATTCCACTCGATTAGCTACATAAAGAACTTGAATGTATCATCCGACACAACGCGGTCGTAAGTCCATTGGCACCGCTGCACTCATTCTCTATCTTCGCTGAATCTTTCACCCGACGATTTTCTACTTTTTTTGCTGTTTTCAGTTGGACTCTTCTCTAAAATATTTTTGCTTTTTCTCCTGTCTCCACCTTTCTTTATTGCCATGTTAGTGTGAGCCATGGCAACTGGAGTCACCACGATTCGGTGCTACTACCTAACTAACTGGTTAAACTAACTGATCTCCATGAATGTACTAGACATCCGTTCTCGAAAACTTATGGGATGGTGATTTGGACTCGTAGTAACACCGTACAGTGTAACCTGCGCTACGCCTCTTAAAAACGGAATTCACAACTTTCACTCGACTATCGGACTACTTGCTCCTGGTCTATCTCCTCACTATTGATTGCACGCTTCTGGAGATTCTGACTCGGTAACTACTGGATGACCGTCGCTCTCAGGTCCCCGGAGTCGAACTCTCCTCAGTTGGTTGGGTTCCCTTGCGACAACGCCTATCGAGCCAAACGCACGGAACAGTTCAGTGAATCTAAGCTTTGAAATCTTTCCACCTCTCTCAATCATTTCCTCACCTTCGATCCAAATTGTAAGCTAGCGATGCTGTTCACAGCTAGTGATGAAGTCGTGTGTGGGGAATCGCCTTCTTTATTCGAACACGTGAGAGTCGGAGTTTCTCTCCAGTCAAAATGAGGCGAATGTATTACATGAGCAATATTCTAGAAAACATTTGTATTGTTTACATTAACTAAGGGACTGTCATGTACGCGCTAGTGGTCTTGTTTGTGATCCACCGCCTTACTATGGAACTGCAGGGCAAGATGAGAGAAGAGTATGTGGGTTTTTGACTGGAACAGGGCTTCATAAATCGCATCTTCACTCTGAGGTAGATGCCAGAGAAAGGTCACATCGCAACCCGACTATGATTATGTTCAGTTCCAATGGGTGTTCCATTCGTTGTACTCGGGCTGACATATGTTTGTACAAAGTAAACGGTTTCTCATACCCACTTGGTTCTAACAGGTCAGATCGCCGTCAGGCCGACGGCGGGTTACTGCATTTTTCCACTACAGTTGCTTTTCCTCATGTTTGCTCCGCTACTCAGGCGTAGCAAAAGGTAAATGGAGTTACTTCTACTTGAGTGACTAAAGCAAAACGGCACGTTGCTTCTGGATTTGCCACTAACGGCCTACTACGATGAATCTGGCCTGTGAACTAAGGTATCAGAAACACTATCTTTTCAAACCACTTGCTATTCTGCCGCTGTTATTTCGCACTGGTCGTTTTGCACTATCTACTGCGGATTTGTCAGTTTTCTCCGACTATTTTTGACACTTTTTGACTATTTTAAGAGCACTCATGCTGGCGTACTGCGTCGACTTAACAAAACAAGCTTCGAGATACCAGGCGCAATCCGGAATTTCCTGACTTCGGTCATTAAAACATGAACCCATTAAAACGTATCATCACTAAAAGTTATTGATAATGTGAAGATGCATCATATTCGTTGGCAAAAATCATCCTTCGACACTGTCCCGTCAACAGGAAGCAAATTCGGATAATACTCTCTAGCAGTGTGCAACCGTTACTTGCTAATGTGGAACCGTTTATCCAATTGACACGTATGCACCGTGTTCCTTTTTCCTATCATACATCTTTGATGATAGGATTTTACTCTATCCTCAGTCGATATTGCAGAGTGCTTGGAACGCACCCATCCAGGTACATGAAGTTTCCGTTGACTTTGCTTGACTACCTTGGGATGCCTCCCACTGTGGTGCTCCTTATAATTTGCAAAATCCGACCAGCAATAAAGCAGAACAGGACTAAAATAAGTGTCTTTGCTCCTTCCCTTATACTACCGAGATCCAAGGTCATTGGTCGTCGTATACATTGTCGGTCAAGCCTCCCTCATCCGCGTGAACTGCACACAGTGTATTTTTGTTGGGATCACACAGACCATGAGGTGAGCGCATTACAGAACGAAATTCCCCGTCTATTAGTAATTAACAAGACACTCAATAAATCACATCTTACCTTCTCTGTTTTCGACCGCCGCGACGCTTGCTTATGTGTGGATTGTCCTTGCGCATCGCCTTTGTTTTGTACAGTTCGATTTGCGTATACAATCGCTTTAGTTCCCGCTGGAACAAAGGGTGTAAAAAGTTAGCAATTCGGGTGTTGCGAGATCATGTTCGCAACTTCTTAATCATGGCAAGGAATCTAACAACATCTCATCCACTAGACCATACTACTCGAATGCTGAGGGCCTCCTCTTCTTAATCTTGAGCTAGTAGCAATTACCAAAGTGATCACTACAGCAAGCACTTTTGTACGTGAAGGCCCAATTCTGCTAACTTCACCACAAACTGGTCAACCATCTTTCCAACCGTGTGTGTAGTTGCGCAATTGTTACATCTCCCATGTGTGGCTTCTACTTTGTGGCACACAATCTCCGGGTGTTCACGTTTGAATTGGTGTTGCTGTCAAAATCAACGAAGCAGAAATAATAGCTTAACTGAGATGGCAATCGGTGGTCTTCTAGCTACCAGGCTGAACCTTTCCGTATCTCCTACTTAGATATACTGGAAACATCTGTGGTTGTCGAAGAGTCCGTTATTGGTGATGCGACTTGGTCTTCTTTGGGACGGCAAGTCACAATAGGTTGAATTGCAACAAACTCAGTCACCATGCAAGTGCGCATTTGAAGTATCATAGCGCTTGCGGTTGGAGTAAAGGCTTGGCTAGGCCAGGAACCTCCACTTTAGTTAAGTGCGAGAATGCAGTTCTCCAGCTTCACATGGACGCACCAAGGTGATCGGAACAACCGCCATCGAATTTCCTCATGGTCACAGTTTCCATTTGGATCAGAATTCGCAGTTTGCCCACACAGTTGACGCTTCCGATAAGGTAAGTGTCACTGGTGCATGGTGCTCTGGCAGAAAGTTGTTTCGTATTTTTACGATCATATTTAATCCCAGACCCTACGGAAATCCCAATAATGTTGTGTTGCAACGTAGTTAATACTTCAAAGACGATCATATTGACGAGGTCCTGTGAACTAGAGTATTACAGTTCACTCCTGCCAAATAGGGTAACTCGATCAATTCGGTCGACACACATTCTATGTAAATTATCTACTTCTGGGCCCCCATTTAACGAACTGGTAAAATGCCAATGGATGTCCGAAATGCTGTTTGTGACGGCGTATTACCTATTAGGTAAGTGTGAAGAAGCTGTCGTCAGTGCCTCATTGCATGGATCCGCAGGCTAAGTATAATAAAGGGTACTAACAGCCTAACAAAAAGCATCGCGCTTTGATGCAACCTTGAGTGTACATCGGAGAACGGCAAACATCACCCGCCTACACTCGGGAAAGGTGTCCACTGCTGACCACCAGAGACAGCTCTGCTCTTTCCGGTTGGGTAACGCGGGATTCTTGTAAGTGTCTCGGTGTGTTACATCAAGCAAACTCCTTTCTGCCCTTGACCATCCATTGGCACTGTCTGCTCATTCGTTGTTACTCGTTCGTTTGACTTAACACACGAAGCTCAGTTACGCGCTACCAATTACCTGCGTAGACCGCTTTCCTCCTCGGCTTCAATTTAGCTGCGGTTGTGTTCCACTGCATCTACCAACACGGATGCAATCGTTCCCGCTGGCCTATATCTTGTTACTTTGACTACCTCTTGCATTATAGTTGGTCTAAACTCCATTTTTTGTCGTGAGAGTACGGTCCTACTGGATCAGTTGCTAACTCCAGTTGAGGGAAAGAAATGCAAAGAGCACATTTCCCATGAGAGTAGGTTTTCTGATGTCTATTCACTGAGAGCGTTCAGTTGACTAAGTGGCTCTCATTAGTGTATACTAAATTAGTTGGCAAGAAAACTGGTATTGCGTACTCCTCACCATAGCATGTGCATTGGAATCGTTATCTGATTGCAATCCAAAGGAACAAACTCACACCTAGTTCTCAAGCAATTTGAGTTTTTTGAGTATATTTGTGGGATAAGTAGGTTAAAATGTGCGCGGAAAATTTCTGGTATGTACTTGTCTTCCCACTCTAAATCGATCACCAAGTTGGGATGGCTCTGCTGGTCATGCAGTTTGCCAGTGTGAGGGATAATTGACTACAGGTTTAGAGGCGAAAGATGGTTCGATTGGATAGACTACGAGAAGAAAAACACTAAAATATTGGGTGTTTCCCGTTTGCGACATTGCACCCTCCGACCGCATTCGCACTTGTTTGTACTCGTCAGATCGAGATAGTTGGACTAGGACTGGACGTGGGGGGCTACCAACGGAAGCATTTAATATGTCTTCCATAGAAGCACACTTGGGTTGATATCGTGACGTTCAGGCCGTGATATGTCTAGTGAACTGTTGTCCACTGCGTTAGATTCTGATGCTGAGTCACCCGAATCACAGCACGGTGCCAGATCAGCCGATGCTAAAAGCGTTGACTCGTGTTTCTGGTTCAAGGAATTGCCACAAATAAAAAGAGCTGAGACCGATTGGGAACCCACAAAGCCAATTCCTGCACACGGGAAAACGTTTTCATCCAGTAAATGACTAAATTTCACTCAGTGAGTTGCGGCTATCCAGCGGGATGGTTGCCTGGATCACAGAAGACTCTAGGAAACTTACTATGTGTTGTATCGCCTTCAACCCCCGTAGGTAACGAGAACACCTGAAAGTGGCACTGTTTACATAGTAGCCAGTCTAGCAGACAAGCAACAGTCCAGACCAACTAAAGCAATGCAAACACCGGGCTGGGAAAACCAATAAGAGAGCAGTCACGTACAACACCAATCAGATGCACTCAGCGCGAAAAGTGATTGATAGTGCAGATTCGGGAGGAAACTGTGGTTACTCACTATGATTTAGCATTGTATACATTAGCTAGGTGTGGAAAACACCTCAGCTATCGTGCTACAGAAGCGACAACAGTCGACGACTATTAAGGTTGCCAAGATGATGCGTTGAAACAAACCTCAATAGATGCACGCAACACAAATAAAAGCGTAAAGGTACAAACTCTCATACAAAGCGTATCTGAACTAAGTGTTTCCTCTTCAACGACGGTTGGAGCGATGGGCCGAACATTTTGGCTCGCAGTTTTGTTGGCCCCCAGCTCCATCTGCTACCTCTGGCGCTCGCGCTGGGGCTGAGTGGTCTACCCCAACAGACCCTCCCTCTTCCCAGGAAATCGAGCAGGAGCTCCGGCACCTGAAGCGTTATAAAGCTCCCGGCCCTGATGGTCTTCACCCAGCTCTATTTAAAGATGGTGGCGCATCGCTGGTCCGAGAACTCACCGCTTTGTTCTAGAAAATTTGGTCGAAAGAGAAGGTTCCATCATCTTTGGGTGAATCGATAGTCGTACCCATCTTCAAAAAGGGCCTGCGCACAATCTGCTCCAACTACAGAGGAATAAGCTTAGTCCCCGTCGTTTGCAAGCTGCTGGTGTCCATCATACTTCGCAGGCTATCCCCAACACGCGAATCGTTGCAGCGAGAAGAACAAGCTGGGTTTCGCCCTGGTCGCAGCTGCATCGATCAAATCTTCACACTTCGCCAGATCCTCGAGCTCCGCCATGTGTATCAAAGGCCAACGATTGCTGTGTTCCTGGATATCCGTGCTGCCTTCGATTCTGTCGATCGTACAGTATTGTGGCAGTGCCTTCTGAGGAACGGTGTCCCCGAGAAGTTCGTCTCCATACTGCGCGCTCTATACAGTCTGACCTCGGGCATGGTTAGGGCTTATGGCATGCTTTCGCCTACCTTTGTGGTCTCCAGTGGAGTTCGACAAGGATGCCCTATCTCTCCGTTCCTATTCAACTTTGCCATTGAGGATGTCCTGAAGAACGCTCTGAGCGATTTGTTGAACGCTGGCGTTGAGCTCCTCCCAGGTAGTCGAGTTGTTGATTTGGATTATGCTGATGATATCGTCTTGCTAGGTGACGATCCACAGGTCGTCCAACGTGCATTAAACCGCTTGACGATTGAAGCATCAAAGTATGGTATGTGCTTTTCGCCATCCAAATGCAAGGCTCTCCTTCAAGACTGGCAGGTGCCTCTGCCTGCACTCACGCTTGCTGGTGAGACACTGGAGGTTGTGGAGAGCTTTGTCTACTTGGGAAGTTGCATCACTGCTGGCGGGGCTGTTGGAGACGAGATTTCGATGCGCATCTCGAAAGCACGCCTCGCTTTTTCTAGGCTGAGGCATTTGTGGCGTCGCCACGACATTCGTCTCTCCATCAAAGGGCGGGTCTATTGTGCAACTGTTCGTGCTGTACTGTTGTACGGATGCGAGACCTGGCCCATTCGTAAAGATGACTTGCGCAGGCTATCCGTCTTCGAGCACCGCTGTCTGCGGTCCATTGCCCGTGTGTGGTGGCAGCACCACGTAAGCAATGTGGAAGTTAGACAGCGTGTCTTGGGACGTGGAAGCCACTCGCTCGAGGAGCTCCTCTCACTGCATCAACTGCGGTGGTTGGGACACGTATTGCGCATGCCTGTCCAGCGTTACCCCCGTCGTGCGTTGTTTGCACTTGCTGGACAGGGCTGGAAGAGACGGTCTGGTGGACAGCCTACAACATGGAGAAGCCGCATGAAAAAGTTGACGAAACAATTGGCCTCGGCCGGTTGTTGTCGACTACCTGGTTGGGGTCCGAGAGACGAGGATACTTGCTGGTTGAAAACCTTGGAAGTTATGGCTCAAGATCGATGTCAATGGCGGACTTGTGCATCAGTGTGTTGCGGTGTCCCTTCCTCCTCCCCCTAAAAACGAACAAACTGAAAAAATTTCAAAAACTGTGAGTGGTAAACTTGACAAAAAAAGCATTTCTTGTTGCTCTTTTCTTATCATTCATATTGTTTTCCTATTCAGCCATGATTCCGATGACACAATATCTGTACCACAGATTGTGTATAATATATATATATATATACTAATAGTGTTGGTCGATGATCCCCATCCGAATAAGTGAATGCAAGGCACACAAGTTACGTGCTCGGCAGATTGTCTTGAAGTGCTTACGTCAGACCTCGTTCACAAACTTGCGCAAAAATATCATGTGTCTCCATTGGCCCGGTGCGACTCCTCTTATATCGGAGAAACGCGGTCATTTTGGCAAATCTCCGTA